AATATGCATTTGCCATGGTGCAGTACAGTCACCTCTCTCTTTACATTCAGGATCCCTGACTGTAAGCCACGAGTTTGCTGTAGGCAAGGACATTGGATCTTTTAATGTTCCATGCCCAGTGGCAAGCACTTTTCAGATGCTCAGCCACTGGGTTTGAAAAGTGATCTTTAAGGATCCTGAAGTTTCTGTGCACCAGGGAAGATCCTGCCGAGGGCTCTGTTCCAAAATCTACTCAGTGGAGACTTACAGCCTTAGAATTGGGCCAGATGCCCGTGAGCTTCTGGGAACTGTTGTGGGACAAGTTGATCTGTAGTTCTTACTGCCCTTTTTCTTTTTCTTATTCCTGGGATAACTAGTTCTGCCATTGTGACCTTACCTTGTCCAAGCTAGCCTAACTTGGGGGCATAGGCCATTTTGGAGCCCCTCTGCCAGCCCAAGTACGGACTGTATCAAGTGGTCCAGACCACAGCTTTGACACCCGGACTTGATGTAGTAACAACAGTTGTTTAAGTGGATGGTACTAATCTCTGTTGCCTGCCTCTGGTGACCCATGGCAGTAACTCAAAACTCTTGTGTGCTGAGTGTCTTGGAGCTTGCTAGAGGCATGGTGGGGAGATAAAAATAAAGCAGAAAAAGCTCCTGTAGTTGGGGGGCTTACACAACCTAGGTTTAAAATATGGGGTTTGCCTTTGTTGGCTTAGCGTGGCAAGAGGAGGCGGTAAGGGAAATGTCTCCCAGTACCTTTTAATCATTCTTGTATAACCATAGCGATTTAAGCAAGTGTCAGGAGGCAGGGAGCAGGGAACATGTGCACTGGCAGGGGGATCACATGCATGATGCAGTAGAGAGCTCTGTCTGCTATAAGCTGGTCTGCACTCAGATAGGCTAGGAAAATTCCCTCAGCACCGACCCCATGGCATGCTTTCCTACTAAATTTTGGGTCTTTTCAACAGTATGCCCCAGGAAAGATCTGGGATTCCTTCCAAACACTCCATATAGAATCAGAGCTTGCTATCTAATGGAGGAAAGTGAACTGGGGTTGTTCTATATTAAGGGTTTTTAAAGAAGGGACGTCTGAAGATTTTGAAAAATATATATTGTTTGTAAGCCAAGGCGAATTGAGACTAGAATATAAATATTTAAGATCTTGTTAAAACCCCCTATTATCTTTTGATAAGCAAGAATTGAGTTATCTCTATTAGCAGGTGCTGATGTTTTGTCTTCAACTATTTCCTTTCGTAAAGACTTGTGTATTTAAACAACGTACTACTTGAGGACATGCACAAATAGGAATCTCCCATCTGCTGGTTCAATCCTCTTGTGCTTACAATACAAACAGGGCTGGGTCAGGTGGAAGCCAGGGACCAGCAACTCAACCTGGGTCTCCCATGTGAGTGGTAGGGGCTGAGCTGCTTGACACACTGCCCCTGCTGCCCATGCTGTGCCTTAGCCGAGAGCTGGAGTTGGGAGTGCAGCAGGGACTTCTAGACACTCAATTGTGGGATGTGGACATCTTAACTAGCATGTTGCTCCTCAAGCTATTTTTAGAAAAAAAAAAAAACAGTGTAGGGCTCTGGCCATCCGCTGGTTAACTTGAAATGATTTTTATGACAAACTTTGGCCTATTTTTGGCCCAAAAGGCTCTTTAATCCAACAGTTTAACATGTAGAATTGTGAGAAATTAAGAGGAGAGAAAAAAAAGCTTTCAGTTCTAGAGATTTCAAACAGCTCATCTCCGGTCTCTTAATGACAATTTCTTTTGTTAAAATTCATTCATCTATCTGCCTATATATAGTCAACCATTTCAGGGTAGAAAGATGCAGATTTTTCAATATGATATATAATATTATCATTATTACAGCAGTGATGGACAGAGTTACGAGTAAAGTACACTAAACAGTTATTAGTCATTAACCCTTAAGTGTCAGTTATGTATTAAAATGATGTAAAGTATCACCCTCAGTGAGTATTAGTAGACACTAAACAGTACAATATCACAAACTGGCACAGAAGAGGTGCATATTACAACAACCTGCTTGGGATAACAAAATTAAGATTTGTTTCTGTATTAAGAAAGTTTCAAAGTAGTCACAGCCGGTGATTGAATCTCTTGTGACTCATAATCACTGTGTGAGACTGGCATGATGATCATGGACATTTTTCAGAGGAGACAGGTTTAGCCGGGTTTAGTGGCTTGCTCTAAATCCCTCTGCCGGTATGTGAGAGAGCCAGGGCCTAACCCCAGCTTGAGCTCACCTTGATGCCATGGTGTGGGTTGATAATCCTGTTGTGATTGGCTCCTCTTGCTCGTTTTTCATGAAAGAAATCAATTGAAGTCCGGGAAAGGCAGACTCTGTGACAAGACAAACAGTACAATTATCTAAGAAATCACTAAGCCATGTGATTTCTAAATACCCTGATTTAGTTTTAGAATTTAAGATACAAGTTGGTAATCCCCACAGAATTCTTGAACAACGTTTTCTTCGGGGAGAGGGTGCAGACAGAAAGGGGGCAGGAGGAGGAAAAACTGTCATTCCTTCTTCAGTGAGCCCTGCTGGGGCAGACCGCAGGGCCAAGCACCTCAGTCGGTCATTTGTCCCGTCCAAACTTCTCTGTCACCTGCTCAATTTCCTCCTTCCTCATCTTCTTGCCTTTAAGTTTGGCAGAGATGCAAAACCAGTTTCTGAGACAAGGACTCATCCCAAAGTCTTTCTAGTCAGACCCAGTTTGTCCTCTGCAATACCCATGGGGATTGTAGAAGTCAGGGGTTAGCAGGGTTCATTGGCATGCTAGTGGGTCTCAAGTCATCTTCTGTGACTCTGCGAATTATCTGAGCTCCAAGACACTGCGAATAATGAAGCCCTCCGGCCTGGTGGTGAGAACATTGCGGTCCAGGGCTTTGTAGCGATGCTTCTGTTTTGCCTCACGACCTGCTCCTCCTGCTGGCCAGGAGTCCTCAGCCACCAGAGGAATCACCAATGGCTATCAGTCACCAAGCCCCTTCTTTTTCCGCCCTGCGGGTGTGAAGGAGGGCAGAACTCAGCACAGCCCAAGACTGTGAGCTCGAATACTATTTTTCTAGAGGATACACTGAAGTACACTGTAATGCTTAGCTGGCCCAGTTATTTAAAAATAAAATATTAGAGGGGAGTAAAAGGACCTATGTTGGTAATTATACATACAGTCCTGGTCTGGTGAAGAGACCAGGTGGCCACCCCTGAGCTGATGCAAAGTTAGGAGCCAGGAGACTCTTTCTGGGTCTCCCACATGAGTGGAGAGCCCTAAGACCTTGGGACATTCACCCCTGCTTCCTCAGGCCATAAGCAGGGTGCTGGATTGGAAGTGGAGAAGCTGGGACATGAACAGATGCCCATATGGAGTGCTGGTGCAGCAGGTGAAGGCTTAACCTACTATGCCACAGTGCTGGCCCCACTCTTACACATTCTTCATATAGATTCATGTTTGAAGACTTGATTTCTACACCCTTTGTAAGAATGGTGAGACAATCATTAGATGACCCAAAGCCAACACAGGAGGGCGTGTGTGTGTGTGTGTGTGTGTGTGTGTGTGTGTGTAACCTGCAAGTCTGTACAAAACAAAAAGCACTTGCTGTTATTTTTCACCCAGAGGATATTCTGGTATCTTCGAAATGGGAGGGTCAGGCTCTGGCAGCAAAATATCACCCCACCGCTAAGAACATACTGAGAATTGTATTAAATCCCATTTTGGAGAAATTGCAGTGTTTTTATGGCAGCAGCTACCCAAGGGATTTAATACACATATTTCAGGTAGGGAAGCTGAAATCCCAGCAGGTTAAGAAAGAAAATGCTCCCTACACACAATCTAGTCTGGTGTGGGGTGGCAGGTGGCGTCTGCTCCAGCTGTTCTCCCTCCATATCATCCATCAATGTGAAGCACCAAGAAGGAAGGTAACAGGCACCCACACCGAACAAAGCCTCCTCGGCCCCAGCCAGGAAAAGGTGAAGCCGAAGCTCTGCTAGGGGTCTGCAGGCCACGTGTGGAAGGAGGAAGCGCCTTCTGATTGGCGCCCCGAGGGACCGTGTCCTCCAATCGGTGTAGGGCCCGAGGTGGATGAGGGGGCGCGCCCTGGCCGGCGGGGCGGGGCCGGAGACCTGTCCATCACCGAGTTCGCGGGTGGCAAGCTCCTACCACACCGCTCTACCTCGTGGAGGCGGGGCTGGGAAGGGCAGGACGCGGCCTTCAGGAGGCGGAGCCAGACCGGCGGGAGCCAATCCGCAGGGCCGAGTGAGGGGGCGGGGGCGGGGTCTTCGCACACAACCCAAACACACGGGCCCGGGCGCACCCTGGAGCCGCAGGGCCCCTCGGCCTTCCGGTGTGAGGCCCGGGGAGCCTCCTCCCTGCTGGGTGACCCCCATCTCAGTAGCCGGGACCACCCCCATTACCCCCCGCTCCCCGCGTCCCGACGCGCCCCTCCTTCGTGTGTGTGTGTGGGCGCGCGCGCGTGTCGGGAGGGGAGCCCGAAGACGGTTGCCGGGAAGCGCGCGCCGCCCCTCCTCTCCTCACGCGCCACCCGTTTTTGCTCTCGGTTAAGAACAGCTGGGTGGCTGAGGGGAGGAGGGAAGGTGGCCCCGGCGGAGGCCGGCCGGGCGCCTCCCACTCAGCCGCGAGCCGCCGTGGGAGCCGGAGGATGGCGGCGCTAGCAGCGGCCGCCCGGGAGGAGGCGGTGCCGAGGCCCAGGACGCGGAGCGCGGCGGCAGAGCGCGGCAGCGGCCCGTCGTGGCGCACCAGAACCGAAAGCAGCGGCAGCCGCGCGGCCACCTGAGCCACCCCTTGTGCCCAGGCCGGAGAACGGGCGCCCGCCGCCCAGGCCCTCCTTCTTCCTCTCCACGCCCGCCGTCCCCAACCCCGGTCACTTAGAAGAAGAGCGCGCACCGGGCACTGATCGCCCCCTCGGGGCGCCGGGCCGCGGCCCTGGACGTGCGGGCCCCCCTGTGGGCCGGCCGCGGCGCCTCGGCCCTGTCCGCTCGCTCCCGCCTCCCCGGAGCTCGGGGCGCCGCGCGCGGGCCCGGCCCGGGGCAGGGCGGACATGGGCGCCAAGCAGAGCGGCCCGGCCGCCGCTAACGGCCGCACCCGCGCCTACTCGGGCTCGGATCTACCTTCCAGCAGCGGCGGCGGCGGGGCCAACGGGACCGCGGGAGGCAGCGGCGGCGGGGCTCGGGCCGCGGCGGCGGCGGCGGGCAGGTTTCCGGCTCAGGTGCCCGGCGCGCACCAGCCCAGCGCCTCGGGCGGCGCCGCGGCGGCCTCGGCGGCCCCAGCGGCCCCGCGGAGCCGTTCCCTCGGCGGAGCCGTGGGCAGCGTGGCGTCGGGGGCCCGCGCGGCGCAGTCCTCCTTCAACATCCCCAACAGCAGCAGCGGCCCGTACGGCTCGCAGGACTCGGTGCACAGCAGCCCCGAGGACGGCGTTGGAGGCGTTGGCGGCGTTGGCGGCGGCAGGGATCGGCTGGCGGGTGGGGGCCCCGGCGGGCCGCGCCTGGTGATCGGCTCCTTACCAGCCCACCTTTCGCCACACATGTTCGGAGGTACGCCCCCACCTCTTCCCCTGCACGCCCGGTTATTATTATTATTATTATTGTTGTTGTTGTTGTTGTTATTATTTCTCCTTCTTTTCTTCTTAAGCCTCCGGGTCCGCGCCCAGGCCCCCTCTGCAAAGGAGATGGGATGGCGCTTAACCCCTGCGGCGACCTCTATTTGTCAACTCGACCAGCACCTGCGCGCTTCCTAGCGTGGCTCCTGGTGTTGTTAGGGAGGCAGGTGGAGAATCGGTGTCAATTTGGGGGACTAGGTGGTGAACAGTTTCTTAGGGGGCTAGAGTAAGGTGTGGGGGTGTCTCAGATACTGGAGGATTTGAAGAAAGCAGGGAGCTAGCAGCCGGGCTTCCACCTGCTGTGTATGTAGTTTGTAGTTGCACGAGGGTGGTAATCAGGTCTTCTTTGACTTCAGTAAACTGCTTCCATAGATTGTGGTTCGTGGGAGTCCTGCTGAATTTGGACATAACCTTAAAAACAAAGACAGAAACCGAGAGCAGTTTCTTGAGGAGGGGCGTTCAGGAAGATTCCTGCTCATAAAAGTGCAGTCGCTTGGCCAGGTGTGTTTGGAGAGCGGCCTTGTCTAGAGGAAAAGTGAGTGATGAGAGATGGACGTTTTTAATAGCAAAGCAATATTCGTTCTGAAGGAGGCACTGGGCCCGAGGAAAGTGAATTCTACCTCTTCAGTTAGGTTTTGGGCTTGATGTACTTAGGTGAGAATCGAAACCACTCCCACCCCCCATCCCACTCCGTCCTCCCCCAGGAAAGACAGATGTAAACATACCCCTGTTGAAGTGTGTAGGAGAACAGGTGAATTCACAGTCAAGCGAAGGGGGCGGGAAATCCGATCCCCTCTCTTTTGGCCTCTTAGTAAGTGTGGGGCTTGGAGAAGGGCCTTGATGGTAGTCAGCAATTTCATTTACCTGTGCTCCAGCATTCCCGCTGGCATGAATCAGGGGCAGGAATGCCATGCTTATCTTTGTAATCTTTTCACATGGAGTAGAGAACAATGCCCAGCTCCACTTGTTTTAAAGTCATTTTTGTTTATGTAAGCGAAAGTGTTCTTATCTATTGAAATTGGTTCATCTTGTAAAATGCTTTTGTTTCCAAGAACTGTTTGAGTCCTCCCTGTGATTTGATCACAGAGAACACAGTGTGAAGGTGGTGTCGTCTCCACGTGGAGGAGTGATAGTTTCCTGAGAACTGGAGAACTAAGGATAACGATAGTTCAAGATAGTTACCTTTCTGAAGTGAAAATTCTCACTCAGCAGTTATTATTGTCAAATGATAAGAATATTGAAAACTTGTTAAAGAGGGAGGGAGGCCTGTCAAGTTAATTGTTAATATTTATTCAGTAGATAGATGACTCTTTACTTCTGCTGGTCATTGCCTTTGATAATATAGTTGTATGAGTTTATGGCCCTAAGCAGTTGAAGCCCACAATAAATCTGTCAGTGATAAAGGCCTAGATGCTGCTTAGATTTGTGCACTTAGACGTAATTCTTTTAGTGCTATTGGGCACAGGGTGACTTGGGGACTAGTCACAGGACAGTGGCACTCTCTGAATAACTCACAGCAGCACAGACCCTTCATGGTGATGGTGGATAGAATAGAGCCCTGGTACCCCAAGGTACTCACCTGCAGTAACGTCAGTTTTCTCCAATACCATGATTTCTAGTCGGGGAAATCACCTTACAGGATGGTATTGTAACCTTAAAGGTGGTTGGGACAGGCAGGTGGGATAAGGCCCGATCTTCCGGAGGTTTGTACCTGCATTTCCATGGATGAGTTGTTCAGGGAAATAGAAGCATGTTTCTCCTCCTCCTGAGATTCAGAGAGTTAAGTGGTGACTCAGTTAAGAATTGCACTTTATTAGACTTTGCATCAGTTTTGTGGATGTAACAGACTGTTACAGTTACAGACTGTTGTGTCTGGGCTTATAAAAAGTGACTCCTGAAATTTGAGAAACAGTATTTTGAAGTAATCAGGAAAGTTGTTTTAATCTGAAGACTGTTTTGTTTGTATTATTGGTAGCTCTCAGTAAGAAAAAAATAGTGAAAATTAAGTGATCCCTTTTGTACTGTTCTGTGGTTTACTGAGAATGAAAAACTAAAGCTGACACTAACCAGTGCTACTTTTGTTTTCTTTTTATAATTTGGGAGTCAGATCATTAGTAGATGATTATAGGGAGGAGCCACATTGGAAAAGAAGGTATTCTGTCTTAGCTTTACACTTTATTCTTGGTCTGACATTTCGGCTGCGTACACTTACTTAATTTCTCTAGAAAATTGGAACAAGGCTGCCTAATACAGATACCACTGTTTGTAGGAGTTTAGAATTGAGTTACTTGTCATTAGAATATGATTGTAATCTATATACAAGTGTTTGGGTGAAGCAGGCCTTTTGTTACTCCTCTTTGGACTGGTTAGTTTAAGCTAACAGTTGTTTAAAATGAACAACTACTGCTAGTGTTCATCTTTGTTTTGCAACTGGATATAGTCTAATATTTAAAAGCCTTAGAAACATCTCAGGATTTGTTTGGGTTTATTTTATGTCTATTTTCCCCATTACCGAGTTGCCTCTGTTCATAGAAACAGTATGGGTTGTAAACTACCCTTTATGCAGCAAGGGTGCAAGAGAGTGTGTGTGTATGTGTTTTGGTCTATCAAAAGTCAGCAGTGGAGATTATTTCTAGAAAAATGTAATGTAGACTTACATTACAGATCCTGAATGCAGAAGTAAGAAACATGTAAAATAAATTAATTGAAAAGAATCAGCTGCTGCATCATTTTTTGTCTTCCTCTGCTGGTTGGGGTGTGGCATGGCTGAGTATTTCTGTAGTTTGTAATTCAGGTGCCTCCTGTTATTTAGGAAAATTTTTCCTAAATATTAAAGTGTGGGTTATTTCTTAAAACTGAGTAAGCTTATAAATTTGTTTCTAGGAAGATTTGTTTCTTTAATATTTTTCAACACAGATGTAAAGTTTTAGAGTGTTGGATTATCTCCATTAATTAGCTGTTACTTAATTGTTCTCCGTTATTACTTTTTTACCAGTATCAAGTACCAAGATGTTAGAATATGGGATATTGTTAACTTCTAATTTTTGGTGTTTCTTTATTGCATTGCCTTTTCTGGGGAGTGACAGAAAAGTAATGTCTGCTTCCTTTTAAGAAATATGACACTTCTAGCCGCAGTCCTTGCAGCCCCTGAAGAAAACAAAACTTTGGGTGGTTGGTGTTTCTCATTTGTGATGCCATATATCTTTAAACAGTGTGGGAGATACCTTATGTTGTGTGCTGTGCTGTGTGAGCTCGGGGTTGAGTTGGGAAGTTTTTTTAAAGTACTCTTGACTGCATGGTAGAAAGTAGAGTGGAGAGAGGAATGGTGAGATACCCAGGGTGGCTGTCATGAGATCTGAGAGCCACGTGATTCCCAGACCTGGAAGCTTTGCTGCTGCTGTGGTGCCCGAGAGAGTATGAGCTCTGTTGTCTTGTTAAGGGACCGTGTGTCCCAGTAATTCCTCATTTTCATTTTGCTTGATTGTTTCAGCTGCTGTGATTACCGATGTGATGAATTAGAGAGCCGTTTTTTCCTTATTGTGCATCCTGTGTTTGTAAGGAAAACAGCCTAAGTTATTACATATGCCAAGTATACATAAGTTGGTTGCATTCACGGTAGATTGAAAGAGAACTGTAGGACTGACATTATGTAGCAAGTACACCCAGTCTTGTTAATGTAAAAATTTCTGGGAATTACTGCTTATTATTTGAAACATTGGTTAGTCTTAATTTTGTGTATACTTAGGACTGCACACGTATTTAAGTATTTACAAATTGTGCGATACATAATGTTTTGAATGAACAAGGGTTCAGAAATATCTTAGGTAGTGATTGTGTTTCTTTTGTGTGTTGCTTATTTACAAATTACTCTATTTGTGTCTGCTAATCCCAGCGCACATTCTTTATCTCCCAGTTTCTGTGGGTCAAGAGTCTGGGCACAGCCCAGCTGAATCCTCTGCAAAGCTGCAGTCTAGCCGTGGGCCAGCCCTGTGCTGTTACCTAGAGACTCCGGCTGGCCCAGTTGCGGGCAGAGTTCATTTCCTCCTGGATGTTAGCTTCATGGCAGCTTGCTGCTTCAGAGCCAATAAAAGAGAGGCAGGATGGTTGGCTGTCCCCCCTACAGGTAAGCCAGCCTGTTGCCTTGGCTTCATTCTGTAGGTCTGATTCACATGTCTAAAACCAACTCTGTTGAGAAGTTATCTTGTTAACTACATTTTGGTGTTTTCTGTTAACCAGGAGTTTTTTCTATTGCTATTTTTTCTATTACTGTTGCTACCCAGAAGTATTGTGATGTGATCAGAGGATCTGAAAGACTCAGTTATAAATAATAAAACTCCTCCCCCCCCCAGAATATTCTGTAAATAGAAAACTGATATTGCCTCAGATCATTGGAAAGAGTTCTAGGGTAACTCATGCAATTCAAGAACAGGTTTCTGAGCTGAATTTTAGCAGTACACACACACTCTCTCTCTCTCACTCTCTCTCTGTGTGCTGTGTGTTTTGCTGATTGTTTCTTATGTAGTTTTATCTGACTCTTGTGTTTGGGATAGGCCTTCTTTAACCGGATGGCCCACGAGCTCAATTTTAACACCTGTAATCTTGGAGGACTGCCGAGACTCCCACTGCAGCATCAGAACTCTGCTTAGGTGGATCCTGTGCCTATTCCTAAGGCAGTCACCGAGAATAGGAGATTGGGTGAAATTTGCAATCTGCTGGTCTGAGAGCAGCACCTTCCAGTTTGACAGCTGTGAAGTCTTGGTTTGAAGTCTCCAGATTTCCTGTCTATCAGAGTACTTCTTCCAAACCCGCCCATCTGGCCTCTGAAATCTCAGTTCCTTAACAGCTCTGCCCCCTCCAGTCTTTCCACCAGTTTGTCACATCAGAGTTCTGGGACAGTGATTTCATAAGCACAGCCTCTCAGTCCCCTCTCAGAAG